AGTTCTGAATCGGATATCTTCCAGTACCGGACAAAATGAAACCCAGTCGGTCAAAAGGAACTACTTTCTGTAGGAGAAATGGATCTTATCTTTTTTTTTAATGTTCAATAAAATGTATAAATAAATTAATGCCTCAATTTGTCTGAAAACACTTCCCGATAATCTGGACAAAACTTGGTAAAGCTTCTAACCTTGACCTCTTTATTTCTGAAAAATTACTCACTTTCGATCGGATAGCATTTTGATGGGGTTGAAATGTTTCTACCCTTGAAAACTCCTAGCTCAACGCTCCTGGTCCAAATTATTTGAAGTGGTAGATGAGAAAATTTCGAAAATACGAACTGAAATAGGATGACGTTGGGAGGTTTCGAAGAAGGGGAGTGGGAAGTATTCTAGTGTTTTTTTTAAGCAAAAAAAAAAAAACCACCTATTCTTGATTACCAGGACGTGTACGTTCAGCATATGATCTTATTTCCTGATTCAAGAGTAGTTTCTGATCTAATTCAAAAACAAAACACTCTGCCTTGACAAGAACAAGTTTTTTTTGGTTACTGCAACGCCTTATACAAATTGGCGAGAAATCGAGCATCCTTAATAACGAGATCAGTAAAAGTATCACAAAAAACAATGATGAGCAGCAATGCATAGAAAATTAGGAATATGCAAATTTGCGAGGATCATCGGGACAATAAGCAGAATTACGAAGATCACCGGCTACTTCGCTGCTGGCATTTGGGCTGCACTCGAGTTTTTCTGACTGAAGGACAGGACCCCCTCCCTGCATCCGGTCCTGCTGACTTTTGGACAGAAATTTATGAATCTGCGCGACTTTGTCCCCACTCTCCTAAAGGAACCTCAGAGGCAGAATCTTGGCCATTGGGCACCTCGACTTTGGCCTGTTCCTTCAAGGAGCAAAATATGACTGTGCCAAGCATTCCAAAAACATATCTGTTTCATGCAGAAACTCGAATTAATTCGAGTAATAAGAAACTGCGGTGAATACTACCGTAGGGGACCTTCTTTTGCTCTTCGAAATACATTTTATCTCCCTCTCTCCCTTCTTCTGTCCCGCCCTCCCTCTGTTAACTGAGGGAAAGCTACCTCCTCTCTAAACATACATTAAATCTCCTGCATCATTGAACCTTTTACTGCTGCGCGTCTCTGTACTGGTTGATACCAACAAAAAGTACCAGGAATACCAAGATCTCCGGACAATCACTATGAGTATTTCATGTCACTGTTGCTGTCAGGATGAAATCTTTTAAGGACCAAAAATTTTGAGATAATTTCTCGCTCCTCACCCTTTAAAAACTGTAGAAATGCATAAAAAATCGTCGTAAAAATGCATGAATAAATGTAAAAAATACAAGAATGTAAGAAAATGAAAAAATTCAAAGGCTGAAATAAAAATTTTTCATAAAAAATTGAATTCTTCAAAAAAAAAAAAAAATGAAAGGCAAATTCGGAAACACACGTGGTTGCTTTTTTCACTATGCACATCAAACAAGCAGGAAAATTCAATAAATGATAAAATAAGAAATAATGATAACAGCATAATGATAACTAGGACTGGAAACATCCACAAAGGCCAAATACAGATTATTATCTCTCATTCCTAACATAAGATCAAGATATCCCACTTTACTTTGTCCAGTTGCAATTCAAAATGTGATTCTCCAGCTGTGCAGAAGCAAATTTTCCAGTTCCTTTAACCAATGCTGCATCGGCTAGTGGCCAGTCTGCGGCTGATTTGTTTTTTTAACCCTGTGGAAGAAAATTTAAAACCTTCTGGAGGAATTTGCTCAACGAAAACTTCGAAATCTGGAAATTAGGAAAAATTTTCACTCCTATGAAAGATTTTTCCGAAAAAAAGCCTTGCTGCTTCAAAAACTAGGAAAATTTACCACTTTCACTAGGGATTTATTCTGAAAAAAAAAACTTTAATTATTATTCCGCAATCTGGAAGTGTGCTGTTTCGAAAAAAAATTAATGTCAAGAATTCGTGCGCATCAAAAAAGACCAATTCCTGGAAGTTGCTGATACATAAATTACAGGATGTGCGTTTCGGGGTAACATCCAAAGTATTACTGGAACTCCACAAAATGACGGCGGGCACTGAAGGTCAGAAAAAAAGGCGTAAAAAACACTGACCAGAAAGACATTCATGAAAAATTGCGGCACCTCAAGAGCTGAAAAAAGTGGCTTTTCGTCTAAAAACATCGCGTCAATTAACAATTGGAAAAAATCTTGAAACCTATACATGCTATTCCAATGCTGCTCGTTCCCTCGCTTGCTTCATCGGTTTAGTGAGCTGGTTATTTCAGCGCTTGTTGCTGCACCGGCTGAGGTACGTCTTGACGTTTCAGTCGCCTTAGTCGATGCAATGTTCCGCGCACTACATTTCGCCATCGAGATCGTCCTTGCACTGGCTCTGCTTCCTCCAGCGGTCGTTGCGATGGTTGCTGGTGCGGTTGCTGCATCGGTTGCCCCAGCAAATGCTCTCCTTCCAGTTCCTCTTCATTTTTTCGCGAGTAACTCGGCCTTTTCATGTCAAAGCAGCCCACTTGCAGCAATATTAATATGTCGATAAAAATCTAAAAATTTCTAACAATTCATTTCAGCCAATGCAACTGGTTTGTTAAGACAATGGAAAATTGAAGCCCAATTAAAAAATTAATTTAAAATAAAAATTTTCTCGCGCGTTAATAACGGCAGCCTACCAGTCATCTGACATGGCGTCTGACTATTTATATGACTAAAAAAAATTCAACTAAACTGAGTAATGCTTGGTAATTGCGGTCTAGAAGTGAAAAAGATTGAAAAGCGGCGATCGACATACATACACCAAGGACAATCGGAATGCTTAAAGCTTTGCGAACCCGCTGGGCTAATAATTCCCTCAAGGAGAACCAAGAGTAACAAAAT